TCCCTTTCTCTGTCTGTCTCTCTCTCTCTCTCTCTCTCTCTCTCTCTCTCTCTCTCTCTCTCTCTCTCTCTCTCTCTCTCTCTCTCTCTCTCTCTCTCTCTCTCTCTCTCTCTCTCTCTCCCCCCCCCTCTCCCTCTCCCTCTCCCTCTCCCTCTCCCTCTCCCTCTCTCTCTCTCTCTCTCTCTCTCTCTCTCTCTCTCTCTCTCTCTCTCTCTCTCTCTCTCTCTCTCTCTCTCTCTCTCTCTCTCTCTCTCCCCCTCTCTCTCTCCCCCTCTCTCTCTCCCTCTCTCTCTCTCTCTCTCTCTCTCTCTCTCTCTCTCTCTCTCTCTCTTTCTTTTCTTTTTTTTCTCTCTCTCTTTCTTTTCTTTTTTTTCTCTCTCTTTTCCTCTCTTTTTCTTCCTCTACTGCCTTTCTTTTTCTCTTTTTCTCTTTTCTCTCTCTTTCTCTCTTACTCTTTGTGCATCTGTGTGTGTGTGTGTGTGTGTGTGTGTGTGTGTGTGTGTGTTTTCATATGCATGGATTTGTGAAATTATGATAATTTTTTTGTGCCTGTCTATCCTCTTTCTCTATCTTCATCTGTCAGGAAAATATACCTTCAGAAATTGTTAATTGATATTGTATAAACTATAACTTTGTAAAGACTTTTTTATATTTTTGTAGTAATTGTATCCTGTATATTTTAAAGGGCCATGGGGGAAGTGAAACACATGCGCGTCTATAGACAGGAGGAAACGGGCTACTTCTATCTGAGTGAAGCCCGTTATTTCACGTCTGTGGTGGACCTCGTTCACCATTACAGAAGTTCACCCCTCTCAGAAAGTTTCACTGGGTAAGGATGATTGTTAATCAGCTGAAAAGCTAAGTTGCATATTTTCATGTACCTCGGTACTGTCATATAGACTAGGAAAAGAGTCTAAAACTATACACCACAAGATAACCCTATAAGAGACTACAGAGAATAGCATTCTCATTTGATGCGTGTGTGTATGAAATATCTAGACTAGGTTCTGTCAAATTGACTAGGAAAAAAGTCACCCGATAAGTTCAGCATCATATTTTCATGTAGCTCGTAGGTACTGTCATATAGACTTGGAAAAGAGTCTAAAGCTCACTGTGTCCAATATGCACCACAAGATATCTTGACAAGTGGCTACAGAAAATTGTATACTCATTTGCTTCCTGTGTTTATGAAATATCTAGACCTGTGTTTATTTTTAGTTTTGTATATCCTTGTATATTACACTTGCCACACAAAAGCTTCATTGCATGCCAAGAGTAATGGAGAATGATAATATTGCATTTCATAAGGCAGAGTCCAGTTGCACATCCCTTCTAGTATTCACGTATTTCCAAAAATAAGTAAAGAGAATAAGCGAAAGGTTATGTTATTTTTCATCACGTCTGAAGACACTCTCTTCTTTCAGGCTTGATTGTTGTTTGCGTCGGCCAATATATGACACAGCAATAGTACGATACCCATATGAGGGGCCTGGAGCTGGACACCTCAGGCTTGTCCAAGGGCAGAGAGTCATAATAATTAGTAGAGAAGGAGAGGGCCGCGGCTGGTGGAAGGGTCGAATTGGATCTAGGGTAAGAAGAAAGAGCATTTTTGTTTTTGCCATTGTTATTTTATTTTATTTTTTTTTATAGTTGTTGTTCCTGTCCTTGTTGTTATTGTTGTTGTTTGTTTTATTTTTGTTACTGTGGTTGTTGACTTTGTTATTATTATTATTATTATCATTATTATTATTATTATTATTATTTTTATTATTATTATTATTATTGATATTATTTTTATTACTGATAAGATTATTATTATTGTTAATGGTTATTATTATTATTATTATTATAGTTGTTATTGATATTGTTGTTATAATCATAATAATGATATGGTATTGTTGATATTTTTATTATGTTTATTATGATCATTATTAGAGTTATAGTCTTACTATTATTATTATTAATGTTGTCTATCTTATTGTCTTATTGTTATTATTATTGTTGTTTTTATTTTTTATTATTATATGAATAATATTAATAATAATTGTTACTGTTATGATTATTATTATTATTATTATTATTATTATTATTATTATTATAACATTGTTAACATTGATAAGATTAATACAGATGAACTTTTTTCTGGGCACATAGGCTTATCAATTGACTCCTAGGTGACTAAGTGCTTTTAGAACCATCTGTATATAAGCTAATTTAGTCAAACAAAATCACAGTGGACAATGTGTGTATGTTAACCAGATGTAGATAGTGCAGATTGCCTTGATTTTCTCAAAGTTTGAATATACTTTCCTTTTTTCAGATGGGATACTTCCCAAGAGAATATGTCACCCTGGAAACTGACCCTCTTGCTGGTTGGTAATGCTGCAACCAACAGGTTTTACAGTCTGATCCAGTAGTTCAAGTTTCTAGTGGAACAGTGTTTTTATAACACACACACACACACACAATATATATATATATATATATATATATATATATA